AGCAATGGAAGGAGCGGGCAGCAAAACCTGGAAGCTGAAGAAGGATTTCAGGAAAGAAAGGGCTGTAAAGCATTTAATGGGCTCCGAGGCACCGGAGAGGACGACGGGAGGAATGTGAGAGGGGGATTGGAGTTAAAGGAGAAGCAGCGCATTACTTTGTCCTTGGAAAGTGATGAGAACTCCCGACTTTACTGAACTAACGCTGTTTCCCACTGAAGCAAAATCAGGATCCGATTCCACAGCACGTTTCTCCCTCTGCCAAGGATCAGAAAACTCGGTCTCGGGGCTGATTTCAGTCTCGGAGGGGGCCTTTGAAAACAGAACTCTTTGAAAGCCGCTGTGGGAGGGATTTGAAGCTGTGGCAGACGAATATCCCTCCCCTTCCATCGACGCTGCAAGACCAGAGCAGGCTCCGAGCAAATCCCAGCTCCTGCTGCGGAGAGGGGCTTGTGCTGACCCGGTGCCGGCAGAAATCCTCCAGAATTTATCATCTCCCGGTGCCACAGGTCTCCTGGTCTGACAGAAAAATGCCAGGTTGTTTTGCCCCCCCCTTGACCGAAGCAAAATCCTGACCCCGAGTTTGGTCCTTTGGACCAGCATCGCCCACCTGGCTCAGGATCTTCACCCTCCTGCCCTTTCAAACGGTGCAGTCCTCAAATGGGGAGGTGTTTTCCCAGGAAAAAGGTCCTACCCTGATCTCAGCACACCCAAAAGCCCCGGTGCTAACTGGATGTGTCTCCATCCCATCACAGCACAAACCCCTCCTAAACAGACGCTGTCACAGCCTCCAGAGATCCACACGACGGGAGCAAAGCACTGGGCTGTGCTCCGAGATTTATCTGGGAAAACAAGGGATATCAGCAGAGGAAGGGAGAGGCTGTTTGGTGAGGGAGGATGGAGCAGCTGGAACAGTCAGGGCTCTGTGAGAGCCGTGCCAGAGGGAGGTTGGGGCTGGCGTGGGGAGGACAGCGAGGTCGGGATGCCTTTGCCTGGCAGTTGGGCACCCAGGTGGGGTGGAGCAGAGATGGGACACAGGCATGTTATCCCCCAGACTGGAGCCAGTCATAGCCCAAAGGTGAGGGGAGAGCAAGGTCAGACATGGATGTCAGATGTGTCTCCTCTTTGCCTTCAAGAGGACAGAGGGGACAAGAGGGAACGGCCTCAGGCTGGGCCAGGGGAGGGTCAGGTTGGGGCTGAGGAGGAATTTGTTGCTGGAAAGGGTGGGGAGGCCTTGGCAGGGGCTGCCCAGGGAGGTTTGGAGTGCCCATCCCTGGAGGTGTCCCAGGAAGGCCTGGCCGTGGCACTCAGTGCTCTGGGCTGGGGGCCAAGGTGGGGATGGGGCCCAGGGTGGATCCATGGGCTGGGAGGGCTTTTCCAACCTCAGGGGTTCTGGGATTTTCTGGCAGGTGACAACCAGGGAGGAAGGATGGAGGAAATCCCAGGTGCTCTGTGTGGACACCCACGCTTTGATCTTAAACAAAGAAGGAAACCCCAAGTTTTTCTCCCCCACCACAGCCACAAAATCGAGTGTGGCTGAGCCATTCACCTCCTGATCGGCCACATTCCCTGAAACCCTCCATCCAAGCACACCATGCCATGGGGAATGGTTGGCATCATGTGGCAGTGCCAGAGGCAGGACTCATTACTTCCACAGTCTGGTTTGCCCATTCCTGTGATGTTCAGCCCTAAAAGCAGTGCTGGAATACGGAATCAGCAGCCAGGAGTGTGACAGAGGGCAGGACAGCTCCATGTGGATCCTTTTCACTTCCCTCCTCCCAGTTCAAAGCAGCCAAGCTGCTGTTACCTGGGATGGTACCAGCTCCTCTCCAGCCCCACAGTGATCCAGCTGCAGGGAAGCTTTTCCCAGCACCACTGCAACAGCTGAGCCTTCCAGGCACGAAGAAAAGAGGGAAAAGAAGAGATTTCTATGGAAGTTTTTCAATTCTTTAAGACACCAGCACCCTCCTGGATCCCAAAAGACGGTTGCCATCCTGCCAGGATATATAATTCCAAACTGGAAATCAATACCACCCTATAACATTCCCCCTTCTGATTGTCCCTCTGTCCCACTGAGAGGAATTTTGGATGACTTTCGGATGATTCAGCATTTGCCCATCTGATTCCAGCAATCCCATTTTCCTGCAGCCATCAATTCCTCCTGGCAACATCCCTGTGACCAGCCTGGGCTATCCAGAGTTCTCCTTCATTTAATTATGGCAAAGGCAACCAGCTGGATGGACAATGCCAGCCTTTGTCCCTGGGGATGAGTGGCTAAGTGGGTTCACATGGAATATCATCCAGATTTCTTGAACTATCCCTGCTTTGCCCCAGTGAAAGCTCTGGGGGTGCTGAGGAGACCTGAGACCCTCTGTGGTTTGATCTCCTGCACTTCCCATGGGAGTATTTGAGCTTTTCCCCAAGGATATTCGAGGTACAGCCAGAGAAATTAATTGGATTTTGGCAGCCAGTGGGTGACACCTGGGTCACCCAAGGGAGGAGACTTGTCCCTCAGCTCCTTAAAACTTGCCAGGACCTCCACTGATGCTGAAGGAGTCGGAGGGAGATGATGCTCTTGCAGAAAAATTCAGGGAAATGTGATCCAGCCTTGTCCTGGATCGGCCACCCCGGGGGGCTCCCATCCCTTCCCTGGTCCCACATCCCATTGTGGGTGACCACAAGGGCTTTCCCTGCTCCAAAGGGTGGTTCCCTGGATGGGGTTTCACTCAGGAAACCCATGGCAGTGTCTGTGCTCCCCATCCCTGTCCCCTGACAGGAGTAAGGTGGGAAAGGGAAGGCAAAGGCACCTCCCCACCACCTTGTTCTTCATTTTTATTCCCAATTATCCTTATTCTCCTGCAAAACCTGAGCCTGAGCAGCGTCCCCACCACGAGCACCAGCTGCTTTTGGGTGTGGGTGCTCAGTGCTCCCAGGGAAAAGCAGGAATCAGGAACTGGGCTGAATTTGTCCCATGGTGGGTGGTGTTTCATCCCTTTTAACCGTCATTATTTAAGTCATCACTATTTAAATAGTGAGGTTTGGTGACTGCTCCCAATCTTTCCACGCTGCTTCCACCTTCCAAGCCTCCAGTGAGGAATATGGGGTGTTTCCCAGGATAAATGCTCTCTCCTTCCTTAAAAACTCACTGCTTTGTCCCTGTGTGCCAAACTGAGGTGGCTTTTTTTTTTAGGGGAGGGAAAAAAAGAGGGGATGTGGCAGCGTCACGACATCTCCTGCTGTTTCCAAAATTAAGAACTGTAGCTTTTTGGTTCAAAATGGCAAATCATTTAGGAATAGAAAACCTACAGAAATGAAATACATAAAAGGAGACAAAAAAAAAGCCCACAAAAATAAAATATAGGTATATATAAAGAGAGAAAAAAAGGCCAAAAAAATTAAAAGATAGATAAACATTTTGTTTCACCCTGGACAACCCAGCCTTTACTCTGGAGCAGAGTGAGCCCATCCTGCTCTCCAAAAAACAACAGAAAAATGCCACTTTCACTGACCAATTCCACCCAAATTTCAGGGTCTGGGCTCTGGGATAACCTAGCACTTGGCTGCATCGTTCCCAAGTGAAACAAAAAGGGATATTTTGCCAAAGCAGCATTTATCCCAAAAAAGCACCATCCACCCAGCACCATGGGAAAGATCAGATGCCCTTGTGGGACCCCCACCAAGGCACCCAGCAGCCCCCCAAAAGTGGTTTTTGGGGATATTTAAGCCCGTAGTGCCACCTGCTGGCAAAGGGCCCTCCCAGAGCTCCCACTTTGCTGCCAGAGCCCGGCCAGTGCCTCCAAAAATCTCCCCCACAGGCATTTCCAGCCCCTCACCCCTGCCTTCTGCTGGTGAAACGGGGGGTTCAGAGCACTTTAAAGCAGTTCTTAAGGCACTTTAAAGCAGTTTTAAGCACTTTAAAGCAGCTTAAAGCAGCTTTTAGGAATTTTTAAAGTAGTTGGAGGTTTTTTAGGACAAAGGACAAGCCCCCACCCCGATGTTTTCCCGCACTGATCCCTCCTCAAAGAGCCCAAGGCAGCCACTGGGAATGAAAACTTGGTAAATTTAATACTGATACAGGAGGGTTTTCCTTTACACAGCAAAAATGAACCCGTGGAGGTCACTGGGATAGCAACAAAACCAGGAGCCTACCGGGATCTGATAAAAACAGGAACAGGGATAACAGGCAGATACAAACACCAGCAGGGACCAGAGTCCTCCTGCCTCGGGGCTCAGCCAGGTTCCCTGTAATTTGGGGGGGGGGGGTTCTTAAAAAAATAATAAAAAAGTTTGCTCAGGGGGTTGGTGACCCCGAGGTTTCAAAGTTTTTTTGGGGAGTTTTTTGCACCGTGGCTCGGGGAGCGCCCGTGCACCCCAAGGCGCTTCCCATCTCCCATCCCGCCAACCCTCTCTGCTTTGGGTCTGGCTCAGCTCTCTGGGAAGCTGGAAGGCACTTTGGGACCCCTGAAGGAAGAGGGGTGGGCCCAGAAGAAGGGGTGCACCCCAGGGATGATGCTGCTGTCGCCCCGTGACTGGGCTCACCCCGCTCCCGGCTGCAGCGCCCAAGCGGAGCCGTGCCCGGCGTCCCGTACAAAGAGCAAAAAATAAGAAATGTAACACAAAAATCCCTATTGGCACAAGTGTCTGTGAGCTCTACGTACCTCTAGCTGTGGGTGGGGCAGAGCTGTGGGACAAAGCACCCCAAAATCTACCCTGATCTACGTTCGCCCGCCGCTGGTCCCGCTGGTCCCCTGCAAAGGGAGTGTCCCCGTTGTCCTTAAATCCCTGCAGGACCTGGGGGGGTTGTTCCACTGACAGCCCATTTCTCTTCTTGCAGTGATGCTGGAGGGAACCCCAAAACCTTTCTTGCTGGGCTGGGGTGTGCATCAAGTCTGGGTGATGGAGGGAGAAATGCCTGCTCTGATGGGACAATTCGGCCGTGCCGGGCTGTCGGGATGGATCCTGGTGGGATGAACTTCTGGGAAGGAGCTGATGGAGATGGATCCTGGTGGGATGAGGTGTGTTCTGGTGTCCCCTCACAGGCTGCCAGTGCTGGCCGAGCCTTGGGGTCTCACCCCAGGCGTCCCCATCCCCTCACAGCACCCTGATGGGTTCAGAAGTCCGAGTCGGGGTCCAGCAGCTCCGCGTCCACCAGGTTGGTCCGGGAGTGGATGGGGGCCAGCCCGGCCCGGCGGCCCTGAGTCCTCGGCCCCCCGGGGCTGGGGGCCCAGAGTGGGCCCCCGTTGTGCTGCCAGTGCCCGGGGCTGGGCCCGGGGCTCTCCTCCTCCAGGGATCCGCTCTCGGGGCAGAAGGGGTTGCTGACGAGGTGGAAGACGTTGGCTCTGCGGTGCCCACCCCACGGCACCCCGGAGAAGGCGGCGTCGGGCCGGCCGGGCGGGAGCCCCGGGAGGACATCGGGGGCAAAGGCCACCAGGCAGGGCTGGGGGGGCAGGCGGGGCAGGCGAGGGACGGTGCTGGGGGCCAGGGGGGCCGTGGAGCCCCCCAGGCAGCGCTCGGGGCCTGGGTCCACCTCCTTCTTCTTCTTCCTCCGCTTCTTCTTGCGGCCGCTGCGCTTCTGCAGCTCGGGGGAGACGTCGGCTTCCACGATCCAGAGGTTGGCCCTCTCCTCCGGTGGCACTGCGGGACGTGGGAGTGGGCAGGTGAGAGCGGTCACGTCCTACCCTGTGCCCCCCGCCAACCCCAGCCCCCCCCTCTGCCTCCCTGCACATCCCCAGCACCCCTCAGCCCGGCTCGTTCCCCCTGAAATTCCCCACGTGGAACTTGCCAGGCGTTGCCACGGGCGTCACGGAGACGTCCTGGGGCAGGATGGCCCCTCTCCTGGCCACCATCTTGGTGACGTGCTGGGCCCAGGCCGAGGACACGTCAGCCGACGGCTCGTTGATGTCGAAGGCTAAACCGGCTGCAATGACAGGGGGGTCTGGTCAAAGGGGGGCACTGGGGACCCCGGGGGGCTGCTGGGACAGTCCCCTCCCATGGGCACGTACCCACGGGGCCGTCGTGTGACACGGTGTGCATGCTGAAGGACAGCTCCCGGCCCGGGTCGCGCAGCAGCTCCTTGCGCTTGGAGAAGGCCTTGGCGATCATCTTGCTCTTCTTGATCCTCTTGGGCTGGTCGTCGCTCTGCCCCGTCAGCCTGGGGACAGGCAGGGTCAGAGCAGGGGTGTGGTGGGGCTCAGGTGTCACAGCCAGGGGCACAGGGACCCTCCCCATCTCCCTCTCCCATTCTGGACGGGGATACCGGTCTGGGGGATGCACTGGATGGGTCCCCTGGGGGTGGAGATGTCCCACAAACAGGGTGTGAGACACCTGCCAAGGGGGAGAGGCCACCCCATTCCTACACCGCTGAGCCCACAACTCACTGAGCTGAGGGACAAATATCTGGGGACATCTTCCAACATCTCAGGATGCTGGATGGGGCGGGAAGGGCCCCACGAAGCTGGGGTGACACCCTCAGGGTGTCCCACCTGCACCAGGTGCGCTTCCAGATGAGCAGGGTGGCCTTGGTCCAGACCCAGGTGCTCATGGAGACGCCGGTGCCGAACATGGCGAAGAGGTTGATCTTCTCCACCAGCAGGCTCGGCCGGTTCTTGATCTCACAGTCCGGGATGGGCTTGTTGGTCTGCGTGGCGATGGTCACGTTGGCCTCGCACCTGAGGGGACAGACACGGGACACCGGCTGTGAGGAGGGGGGACACCAACGACCCCCCACAGCTCTGCAGGGTGGAGATGTGGTGGCAGCACCGGTGGGGGACACGGGGACCTCCACTCAGCAGTGTGAGGTGCTGGGATGCCACCGGTGTCCCCCTCGCCCTCCATCCCCGTCCCACTCACAGGACGTATTCCCGAAAGCTGCGCTCCCACTCCGCCTGGTTGAAGAAGTCGTAGAAGTGGCAGCCAAAGGTGATGAAGACGAAGCCAAAGGCCAAGAAGCCAAAGATGCCTGGAAGAGAAGTGGGACATTCCGTTGTCGCCAAACCCCAGCGACACCAGGGCAAGGACGCTGCACTGGGGCTGTGCAACATCACTGCATCTTTGTCTCCATTGCCACTACCCCTTGGAAAGGGCTGTCTGACTTCAGTTCCTGCCCCAGTTCCCATGGGAATGGTGCCAATGGACCCCCTTACCCAGGCGCAGCATGGTCTCGTTGATCTTGCTGGCCGCCTTCTCGCTCAGCAGCCCGGGGTGGTTGCTCTTGATGGAGAAGAGCGTCATGACCCCTGTGGTGGAGGGATGAGGGGATGAGGGTGGGGGGACACCCATGGTGCCCTCACCCCCTCAGGGAGTTGGGCCCACACTTACCCCGGATGAGGAAATAGCCCCCCACGATGAGGACGAGCCCGATGGGCGCCAGGACGAAGCCGGCTCGGTAGCGGTAGTTCTTGTAGCCCACAAAACAGATGCCACTGACAGAGTCACCATCCACCTGGCAGGGACGGGCACAGGGACAGGCGGGTCAGCTGGCCCTGTGGGCGTCACCCTGTGAGGGAACCGTCGCGGGATGGTGACCCCGTTACCTGCGCCACTGCCAGGATGGCCACGGTGAGGACGAAGGGGATGGACCAGGTGATGAGGTGGAAGTAGGAGGTCTTGCCCAGCAGCGGCTGGTAGGTGGTGCCCAGGGCCTTGAAGGAGGTGTGCCAGGCGTAGGTCAGCATGACGAACCAGATGACTCCCGACATCAGCGAGTAGTAAACGATGACGAAGATGATGACGCAGGAGAGCGTCTCGTTGGACCTACGGGGGCAGGCGAGACAGAAACGTCACCCACCTCCACGAGGGGACAGAGAGGAGGAAGGGGGTCTCATCCCCCCGGCTCCCAAGAGGCCAGCAAGCCCCAGGAAGCCCTCCTTGGTGTCGGGGACGCCTCTCAGCACGTGGGGATGGAGGTGGTACGTACGTGGGCTCCCCCAGCCGCATGGTGCCGTCGGCCCGGCACACGATCTCGTTGCGGGCGCCGTCCATGAACTGTGCCAGCCAGCCGATGCTGCCCACGAAGAAGCAGGCGTTGACGTAGAACAGGATGACGGCGGGGTAGCGGTTGGAGTTCCTCCAGTCGGCGACAAAGGTGGCCTGGCGGGGCGGAGAGAGCCACAGCTTGGTGCCCCCGTGCCCTTCCGGGGGCACCTCCCCGCGCTCCCCCCGCGTCTCACCAGGGTGAAGAAGGTGCAGAAGATGGTGACGGAGCTGAAGGCGGCGATGTAGATGTGCATCTCGCGGTGCTCCTTCTCGGTGAACAGCGGGTTCTGGCACTGGATGCCACAGCCCTCCACGTCCTCGTACCAGCTCTTGGGGTTGTCCGTGCGCACCAGCGGCGCCTCGCACTGCCCCGAGCTGTTGAACTTGATGTTCTGCACCTCGTTCTGCCGGAGGAGAAACGGGGCCGTGAGGAGGAGGAGACACCCCCACGGTGAAGGGGGACATCAGTCCTCAGCAGAGGGCAGGGGATAGCCGGGTTTCATTGGATCATCATGGAATGGTTTGGGTTGGAAGGGACCTTAAAGCTCATCCGGTCCCAACTCCCCTGCCATGGGTAGGGACACCTTTAACTACCACAGGTTGCTCCAAGCCCTGTCCAACGTGGCCTTGGACACTTCCAGGGATCCAAGGGCAGCCACACATGCTCTGGGCAACTTATGCCAGGGCCTCCCCACCCTCCCAGCCAGGAATTCCTTCCCAATATCCCATCTTACCCAGCCCTCTGGCAGTGGGAAGCCATTCCCTGTGTCCTATCCCTCCATCCCTTGTCCCAAGTCCCTCTCCAGCTCTCTTGGAGCCCCTTTAAGCACTGGAAGGGGCTCAAGATCTCCTTCGAGCCTTCTCTTCTGCAGGCTGAACAACCCCGACCCTTTTCTCCTCCCAAAAGCCACTTTCCCTTCCCAAGAAGTGACGTTTTTTTCCCCTGCTGCCCCGTGAGGAGGCAGCCTGGCAGGGCCCCCCGTGTCGTACCGGGCAGCCCTCGGGGAAGCGGTCGGTCGTGCACT